AGGTAACCTGGGTCCTTGAGGTACGGGATGAATTTCAGACCTGAGATGCACATATGCAACATTAGTGAGTTGTGTTTTATCAACAGAAGTTTGACAAAAGCCACTTCATCCCTCCCTCTCAAGAAATGATTTAACAACAAACTTAAGACAAGAAAACAACATTTCCAAAAATCAATGCCTCAAAAATACCTTCCTTAGAAGAAGCTAACATATCAAATATGGTATAAACCCTACATTACGAAAATGGGATTTAGTTTTCTAAATGTAAGACCAGTACATGCAGTATATATACATAATTAGAAACCACCAATTTACCAGTCCCTTGAAGAGATCTCTCTGAAAAATAAGTTGACCCAATTTGATAGTTGCAGTCATTCTATGTAATTGAAGTTATAGTAAAAGGACCCAAGATGGCAATAACCACCCTCAACTAGTGCACCTTCAAAGATGGTTCAAGGTTGAGACTAGGTGCTGACTTTCAGTATTCCATATCTCCCAATCAATTTTCTTCCTCTTCTATCCTTTATACATTTCTAGGAATTAATGTTTTAGGTTGTTGCATGAACTTGTACTTATACCTACACATGTCAATGCAAATATGGTAAGAATAACAGATGTGATATATAATTATTTTTTCTTTTTGAAGATAAAATAAAAATCATTAAAGAAAAATAGAGGAATACAAGAACGGTGACAAGTAGGTAGTCACCCAAGAAATCCCAAAACAATCTACCCAAACTAGAAAACACTAAACCCACATACACCCAACTCCCCTTAATGCTATGTTTGGTTTGAAGGAAAAGGTAGGGAAAGGAAGGAAAAAGTAGGAAAACATATACTACAAGGTTTGTAAAAGTTTCCTTACCTTTCCCTTTCTTTCCCTATTTTTTCCTTCAAACCAAACACATTGCAAATGAACAAACAAAGAATGAAAACCGGATTTGGATTTGGAGTATAATCAAGTATTTTCATAGCACATGAAATCTATCTATAAAGAGGCAAGAGTTCTGACTGGTCTTGAATGTATAAGATATTAGTAGCAAGATTCTCACTCATATGGTATCAAGAGTACTTGTAAGCCACCACTGCCTTCACCTCTTCAGGTAACAGAGTGGGATCTCCTTACAATGTTCTGCACAATGAGCCAATGTGCTACAAACAGATCAATCTATATAATCTATCCATAATAGTATCCTTTGAATTGTATTTTCCAATTGCATGCTGTTGCATTTCTTTCAGTCCAAATGGACCAAGTTACAATTAATGAAGTACTCTCAAGTATATATCTTAAGAAATAGAATACAAAGTTAGAGATCCATGTGCTGCCTATTACTACCGATGAAGAAAATATCAATTTTTGGTGTTTGACCTAGAAAAGTTCTCAACTGCCCACATAATCTCAATGAAGGAGGATATTCAACTGCTTAATTCACAACTAGGCTAGTACTTTGCTACTACTACCACTACTAATAAGTAGAAGAAAATTCAACAACTCAAAACCCTACCATCTCCTATCATCTACAAGCTACCAAATAGTGTAATTAACTAGCAATAAAAACCTAACTTTGAATCATCTAAGGATTATTGGTTTCGCTATATTTGCAAATAAGTATGGGAAAACAATTTAGGCTCAGGAGTAAAATTATAAATATATAGTGAAAATACATAAAACATAGTACAGAATACAAGGGTTTGCATTGTACTCTTTCCAAACTAAGCCCACAAATTGATTTTAACCAGGAAAAAGGTTATTTTTGTAGGTGAATGAACAAAAGAACCAAACCTGCAAACAACCAATACTTAAATTAAGCGGGTAGGAAGTTCAATGTGAAAACAAATAATTAATAAGAGCTTCAACATGCAAAGGCACTTAAGTGAATAAGTGCACAACTAAGCAATATCAAGAGATCTATGTCTTTGAAATTATTAAATTAAATGATCAAGAGAATTCATTTTACATCATAAAAAAGTACTCAATACATTGAAAAAGATATATATAATTGAATATATGAACTAAATGAAAAAAAAAATACTACCTTTTTCTACATTTTGCAATGTAGCAATATCTTCTTTTCTATCCCTAGGGATTTTCTTGATTTGACTACTAAGATTATTATTGCCTCCAAAATTCCAACAACGGCTAATTGGACAATTGTGTATGCAATTCCTTTAACCTCTTGATAGAAAAACTTCAAAGTCGTCTATCCGAAGACCTCACCGCCCTGAGCTAGCTCCATGAAAAGATGAACAACTCAGTGATGGGATGGCTGAGGAAGGATAGGGTGTAGCCACTAATGACCATTTTTCTAGCAGTTTCTGATGCTGGTGATGGGAGTCACCAACGGAGGCAATGGTCCTAGGGAGAAGGGAAACGTCGAGAAAGGATAGGGTTTCTTGTGTATTTAGGGTTTGCTAGAGGATGGATGAGAGAGAATAGAGAGATGAAGTGCTTTGATAAAAGTAGTTTCGTAATTGTCGATGTTTACCAATTGGAATAGATGTTTTATAAAAGTACTTTCGTAAGTGTGTTTTGATAAAAATACTTTTTTAAAACAGTTTTTGTAAAAGTGCTTCCATAAAAGAGCTTTCATAAAAGTGTTTTTGTAAAAGTACTTTCGTAGAAGTGATTTCGTAAAAGTACTTTTATAAAAGTGGTTTCATAAAGTGCTTTTGTAAAAGTAATTCCATAAAAGTGCTTTTATAAAAGTATTTTTGAAAAAGTGTTTTCATAAAAGTACTTTTGTAGAAGTGCTTTAGTAAAGTGTTTTTATAAAAGTACTTTTGTAAATGTGCTTTAGTAGAGTGTTTTTATAAAAGTGCTTTCGTAAAAGTACTTCCATAAAAGTGCTTTTATAAAAGTACTTTTATAAAAGTGCTTTCACAAAAGTGTTTTTGCAAAAATGCATTAATAAAGTACTTTTATAAAAGCGTTTGCATAAAAGTGCTTTTATAAAAGTTCTTTTGTGAAAGTACTTCCATAAAAGTGTCCCTTTACAAGGATTTTTGTGCTATGGAGCTAATTTAAAGAATGTGTCCCTTGGAAAGAATTTTATGACCAAGCACTCTAATGTTATTCATTCTTACCCATTCTTGCCTAGAATAACCAAGAATTAAGAGAAAGAGACTCAAAGTAGTGACCCAAACATGGCCATAGGTGCATTTCTAAAACCTCCTCTCTATGTTTGTACCCAAAAGAAAACAATGGACAAGGCTATCAAGCGATCATTAGTCCTAGAGAATGAAAAAGTATGTGTTATAAACTTAAATGGTTGAGTATCACAGGAAGAAGCCTTCATCCTTGGCCTAGAAGTTTTACATTAAAGAGCCAAAGGCCATGTTTGGTTCAATTCTCATTCTTTCTCTTTCTTATCCAAGATGAAATTCTAAAATGGAAAAGAATGGGTAAAAATAGGTAGAATGAGAAAATGTTGCTATGAACCAATCACTTTTTCCCTAAAAATGAATTCTTTTCACACTAACAATTGTCCTATGTTATTCTTCAAACAAAAAAAAAAAAAATTGTGCCGATATTCATAAACCGCCAACCTAGGTCTCCAATAGTCAGTGTTTACCAATTGTCATAGATGTTTTGTAAAAGTACTTCCGTAAAAGTGCTTTTATAAAAGTACTTTCGTTAAAATGCTTTCATAAAAGTATTTTTGTAAAAGAGCTTTTATAAAAGAAAGTACTTCCGTAAAAGTTATTAAAAGTGCTTTCATAAAAGTGCTTTCGTAAAAAACTTCCATAAAAGTACTTTTGTAAAAAGTGCTTCTATAAAAGTACATTTGTAAAAGTGCTTTTATAAAAGTACTTCCACAAAAGTGTTTTTATAAAAGTACTTTTGTAAAATTGAACCGTCCCAAATCTTAGCCTCTTCTATTCAAAAAAGTTGGTGACTGTTTAGAAGAATCTAGAATTTGAGACTTCATTTTTTTGTCAATATTTGGATGGTTGATAAAGAGAAATATGAAAGAAAGAAAAAGAAAAACAGTTAGATCCGAAGAAATAATTTAACAAAACAGTAGCATGCTAAATAAATCAATGAAAACAAAAACTAAAAACTAGGAGAAGGCCCGGCCTAGTCTCACCTCATGCAGCAACAAAACACAACAAACCAAACTTTATTTAGCGTAATAAACCAAATCTAACCTATTTAAAAAAGAAAAAAAAAGTTTATTATTCAATTCCCTGTTTAATTCATGATATATGGAGTTTGTTAATAAAAGAGTTCGCTAGCTTTTGTTTTTTAACCCTTGAGAGGGATGTCCACTGTCCACAAAGAAGAAAAACAGAATGAGCTTTTTGTCCTATTAATGTAGGAACAGTGAATAGTAGCTAGAGTATGATTTTTATTGTTTAGAGAAGCTTTATGTCTAAGAAATAGATATTTGAGTTCCAATACACCCGTTGTACATGTTTTCAGGAACCTGTTTATTTTGTTTATTAAATAATAAATAATATTATAAAATAAAATTTTAATCTATACACTGTGCATGGATTCTTTGATTCTTTGAAGAATGGTTGAACAAATTAATTAAGTGGGACTCTTGTCAGTTTGTTTGTTAGTTATGGTGGTTGGAGATGTATTTATCCACTTTTATTTATCCACTTTATTTTGCTTGGTTGGCATCTCTTTATCCCAATCTCTTTAATGAATGAAACATAATTAAAACCTTCAAAATAAAAAAACTAGAAACACAATATAACTGGAAATGGGACTTTTTGCTGGAATTATTTTAATAGACAAGTGTCAAAAATAAAAAAATCTAAGGGTTCATTTAATGTGTTTATAATGTTTTGCCTACCTGACCCCAACCATTGGAAATGGTTAGGTATGGAAAGAATTTTGACCAATTAAAACCCACCCATAAATTTTGATAACACTTGATTTCGCTACCAATTTATTGGTCTCGGATATCATATATTTTCCATATCATGGTCGAGCACTATATATATATGTTGGCGGTTTATGCTGTCTTTCAAATTTGGTCAGAGTTTCCAAAGCCAATTAGCGCAATTGCAAGTAGAGAAAAAAATGATCCCAGAGGTGGTTCTGAGCTCTGGACATAAGATGCCATCGGTAGGCATGGGTGCGGGAGCCCACCCTCTGGTACCTCTCCCACCCCCTGACGCTCTCGTCTCAATATTTGTCGATGCCATCGAAGCTGGTTACAGCCATTTCGACACTGCTTCCATCTATCAGACTGAAGAGCCCCTCGGCCGAGCGATAGCCCAAGCACTCGAGCAAGGTCTGATCAAGAGTCGTGATGACCTTTTCATCACATCCAAGTTATGGTGCACAGATGCCGACCCTGATCTCGTCCTACCGGCGCTCAAGAGGACACTTAAGTATTAACTAACCTCACCGGCCCCAATTAGTTATAGTTATTCTTCTGAAAATGTTGATCAATATTCATGTTCTTCGGGTTTAATTTGTTGCAGGAAACTTGGGCTAGAGTACCTTGATCTCTACCTCATACATTGGCCTGTAAGGTTGAAACAAGGAGCTTCAGTAGTCCCTTTCCCAAAGGAAGATATCCTTCCCTTTGATATGAAGAGGACGTGGGAAGCCATGGAAGAGTGTTGCAGGCTGGGCCTAGCCAAGTCTATTGGTGTCAGCAACTTCTCTCGCAAGAAACTCTCTCAACTCCTGGATCATGCCACCATTCCTCCTGCCGTCAATCAGGTACATACGTAACTGACAATGGTGACGAGTGTTAATTTGATGACTGCATGTGATATAGTGACGATGGTGGTGGTACTGGTTCTGATAATCAAACACTTGCAGGTTGAAATGAATCCTGCATGGCAACAGAAGGAGCTGAGGGAATTCTGCAAGGAGAATGGGATTCATGTCTGCGCCTGGTCACCTTTGGCAAAAAATGGAGCTCCAGGGGGTTCCCTTGCGGTCATGAAAAGTCCGATTCTCAAAGATATTGCCATGGCCAAGCGAAAGAGCATAGCACAGGTACTTGTTTGTTAGAGAGAATAAAATCCTACTTAATTAGGTTATACTAAGGTTCAAAATTTTGATACAATACGTGGTTATCGTATTCGGTGGCTTAACGATACGCCCCTACAAGGGTCATATATATTAGGGTCTGACCTGGTTCAGGGGGTAAACCAGCCTTAATCTGATTCATCTGAGTCATTTTCAAAGGGAAAAAAAAAAAAAAAAAAAAACAAGAGAGCGAGCTTCATTACAGGCAGATATTCCCCTACTGGCGTATGAGCCTGTATCAATATTTTAATCCTTGAATTAAACTGTTCCTTGAGATGCTATCTAAACTTATTTAACCAAGTGGTGTAATGTTCAAACCTAATCAACCCGTTATAATTAACTAATTTTAACACAAAGTTTGGGTGAACCTGTTCTTGCTCGCGCTTTAAGATTGACCTTTCACTTTTTCTTTAATGTTTTTCAAAATTTTATAAGGTATGCTATTTTTATATATACTTTATTTAATGAAAAATATTTCTCACAACCCCTTAAAACATGTGTATCAAAATAACCTACTATCAGCTTAAGCTTTTGGGCTGGGCTCAACAGTTCCTTCAGAGTCATAGAATTAAATCATAGTCTATCAGGTATTTATTCACTTAATTCACCGTCTTTCGAACAACCACTCTGTGACGACAGATTTCAATGAGATGGATATATCAGCAAGAGGTGACTCCAATAGTCAAGACCTACAACAAGGAAAGGATGAAAGAAAACCTCCAAATCTTCGACTGGGAATTGAGCGATGAAGAATTGGATAAGATAAGCAGGATTCCTCAGCAAAGTGGATCATCAGGAAAAATGTTTGTTTCACCAAACGGACCTTATAAGACAATAGAAGAAGTTTGGGATTGATGACTGTATCTAATATAAGGTCATCTTTCAAGTATTAATGCTTGTTGAATTATGTTGTATCAATGGTTCTCCCTTTTAATTTCTATGCACCTTAGTTTACTTTGTTAAGAGCTTTCTCTAGCTTTCTGTTTCTCTCTTATTTCCTATCAAATTAAACAGACTTAAAAGACTTGTTTGAATAATTTGTCAAACCAGCCTTCTTCCATTCAAAATTTTAAATATTCTGTAAAAAATATTACACCACAAGAAAAGCTCAAGAAAACCGGGAGTGGACAAGTAATTTGTCAAACCAGTCTCTTAAACTTTCTGTGCAAAGTAGCAACTACGAGAACCGGGAGTGGAAAAGCTCAAGAAAATCTCTGCAAACGACGGCACAAAGTCAAGAAATGCCTAAACGAAGGCATTCAGCCTCCAACGAGACAAAGTATCAAGTGCAACTCCCTAATACCCATAAGCTTGGGGCTTAATTTGAAGAAAGAAAAGTGCAGAAAACAAAGTGCTATGGCAACCCGAATGATAGCAAAACATTACAAGAAATATGACCTTTAGCTACAGACAAAACCGTGGCTAAGGTCAAAAATACCGTAGCTATAGAATTATAGTGACAGTTTAGTTACGGACACAAAAACGTAGCCTATGTTCGCATGGCTATAGCCTACAGCTATGGTTCAGCTAATCCGTGGCTACAACCCATCTATAGCTACGGTATCTGTCTGTAGCTAAAAGGTGAATGCAACCATATGAACCTTTAGCCATGGGCTGAACCTTAGCTAAAAGATGCATATAACTATGATTTTTAAATTCTCTGTAATTATATACCTAACTCTATAACCATGGATTTTTATAAAACCATTACTATAATTCTTTTATTTATAGCTATGGTTTGCTGCAATACCATAGCTAAATGTACAAACCTATAACCATGGTTTTTTTTGCTAAAACTGAAGTTAAATACTCTAACCTATAGCTACGGTGTTTTGACAAACCGTGGCTAAAAGATGCAATATATGCCCACAATTTCTTGGAAAATCATAGCTAATTGTTTCCATCTATAGAAAAATTGTGGCTATATTCCAAATAAAATACACTACAAGAAAAAAAGGTTATAGTGACAATTTTTTGTCACTATTCAATTTTAGCTATTTATAATTATGAATTTTCTACCACTACAGTTTTCTACTTCTCAAACTTGCAACAAACATGAGAAATCACCTATTTTATTTTCACGTCACATCAAATATATAGATAAATTTCTACAAAAAGTTAACATATTAATTAAAAACTAAAAAATATATGGAAATATAACCTCCATACATCAACAAGTTAAAAATGTTTCAGATGTGGCAATTTGCCATGTTACATATAATAACCCACAACAAAAATAAAAAATATTGATCTCAAATCTCTTCATCCATGTATGTTGTTATTCCTTATAAGTGCATTCATCCTAAAAAACAAAATACAATGAAAATTAGATTTTTGAATTAATATATTTGATAATTTCAAACATGAATGTAGTAGAGTGTTGTATGATTAAGAAACATGATCTCTGAAAAATGAATGTAACAGAGATTGAAGTGGATGAGTGAAAAGAATTTGAAATGGTAAAATTAATAATGAATAAATTAGTGGGAATTTAACAATGCTTCAAAATGAGGGAAAGTAGAATTAAATGATCTAATTTGGGGCAAAAAGAAAAAAGAAGAAAAAGAAAAGGTTTTTTGCTCAAGTTTATCCTTTACACAATGCAAGCAGTCAAGCAAGGATTCCAGGGTATTGGGTTATCCTCTATGCAGTCTGCTCACAACCTCTTAAAATCAAGTGTGTTAAGGCTGGAGGTTCGTACAGGAGCAGCCCAGGTTGAATGGGGAGTACATGATTTGGTCTCCTATGAAGGAGAGCATTCTGAGAACCAAAGCTCCCATTCATGTAGGCTTATTCTTTGGAAATCATCTTCTTCAACTCTTTCTTATTTGATCCAGACATTCAAAATAGCAGAATCACAAATAATCATGTTCTAGGATGACTGGGGAAGCCTATTTGTTCATTGGATTTAGAGGTTATATATAAGTTGAAGTACAACTAATTACACGATTGGTTCTTTGGTTTTGTTGTTAGGCCTGGGGCGTTTCATGTTTTTGTTGTGCTATGTTGGAGAAAGAACATAAATTATAAGTGAACTTATTGAGTAATACATTCAAAGAATAATATTAATTCTTTTTTCATATAAAAAAAAAAAAAACAGAACCAAACAGTATTAAACTATAATCCAAATCAGTGGAAGATTAAAGGTGGTGCAAAGCAAGCCAAATCAATGTGGTCTTTATACAGGAGGTCATCTTGTCATTTTCTATTTTCTGTTGCAAATAAAAATAGAATAGAAAGGACACTAGTCCTTATTGGCATTACAAACTTCACTATTTCTCTGTTAGATCTTGAATTCTTTAAGTTGAATGATCTTGCAAGGAACATTAAACCCTAGAACTAGATTCGCATTACATAAAGAAGTGGGGAGACAAGTGTCTCTAATGAACTAACAATTTTTGCTTCTCATGGAACCCCAGGTGAATCCAAGCGAACTGCATTTATTCTTGTAGCTTTTGGGTACATCCAAATGTAAATATTTGTAACTATTTATATTCTTCTTTATCCTTGGAAGTTTGTTAAAATTGGACTGTAGTCATCAATAGTTTATCATATTATCTGTCCTTGCTAGCTCTTTTAAGTGTGAATTACCTAATTATCAGTAGTAGATAGGTCGGGTGGTCCATTAAGATCAATTCCATTTCATTTAGGACCTCAAAATTGGGCTAACACAATGACATGGGCTTAAAAGTGAATATGTTGCACTTCTATTTGCCATAGAAGAACAATAAACAAACTTGGATTTTGGTTGCTCTTGGTTTGATTTCTAATGACCCATCACTAGAGAATGAAACTGAAGCTCTCATTTCTTGTGATGTTTTAAGGAAAAGATATAAATTTTTGACTTGTGGTAGATAAATCAGTGAAGCTTTAATTCAAGAAGGGAAAGGCCCCCAAACAAAATATTTGTTCTACCTAGGCCCAACTCAGACTCAACCCACTGCAAACTATCATAAATCTAATTGGTCGGGTTGGTAAAAATCAAACCAAGATAGGGATCAACATTGGGTTAATTTGATTGGTTCAGTTGAAACCAAATTTATTTATGTATGTTGAATATAAAATGTATTATATTATACATTATATACCATATACTATATATCTTATCCTAGGCTAAGTTTTAACAAGGTATTGACGATGATACTTGGCTGGCTTTATGAAACTAGGACCTATTCCACAATTCTTCAATTGGTTTTATGTTTATTTACTTAAAATTGAACTGAATTAATCAAATTTCCAAGAGGGAAGCTAAGTTGAAAATTAATAATAAAATGCCAAATAACTTATAAAAGCCCCGAACATATGTGGGCCCATCAATAGGTTAAGTAGCACTAAAGTTTATTAATAAAAAAACTCAACCAAGGATCATCCCTAGTTAGGACTTAAATGGAATTGTACTAAAATATTATTTTTTAAATGTCTAAATGTACAACTTATGATTCACTATTCAGATTTTTCAATTCAACAATTCAAATGACCGGTTTATTGAGTTATTTTAAACTTAAATAGCCTTTAAAACAATGGCTACAAAAAATGCCCCTAAATGAAGATTTTGTTATTTTAATTTATGTCAGACATTTAGTTGTCCGCCACCATAAATCAACATTTTGTAACAAACATCAAATTATATGTTATTATAAATCAAGGTTTTCGGTGCAAATGAGAGAAGCTGAATAGAGAGGGAAAGGGTTTTTTGTGGGCGGGAGAGAGTTCGCATCAATTATTTTAGCAGTCTTTCAAATTTTTTATTGCCATTCAATCCCGTCCGTTTAATTGAATTCAATCTCAACCATTTATAAAAAAAATTAAATTTATTTAAGCCACTAATGTTTTAGTCATTTAATTATATTAATGTCTTATTAGATTTTTCATGGTTATTATATTATTTCAACAATAATTAATAGTTTTGTTAATTATTTAATTATTTTATCATTCTATCATTTAGTTTAACAATTTCATTGAATATTTTATTTTATTATTTTATTAATTATTTAATTATATTTTAAAATTTTTAATTATTTAATGATTTTTACTAGTTAACCAAATTTGATCATTTGATCATTTTGTTTTCATTTCGGTAACCAAATTTGAGTACCCTTAGCTTTTATTGCTTATGGCATGACATTTGCTTTTTGAGATAAAAAATGAAACACCAAATATGCCATGGCCCATGCCTTTGGTTGTAGTGTGTTTGTTGTCTCTGTGTCATTAGTGAATAAAACTCAATGGGGATGGTTGGTCATTGGTGTTATAGACTGAACATTAGATTTTGATCACTATGACCTGAATAAGATAATGTCACAACACAAAAAGGTTTCACCAAGAGGGGAGAAGAGAAGAAATCTGACTATTGGGTTGGGTTTGAATTGGTTTAGGACTAGGTGGAACTAGTTTCAAACCGATAATAATCATGACAATATATCCGGAACCAGAGTCAATTCATCGGTTCCAATTCCTAGAACCATAACCAACCTAATCAATTCATGAACATTGGGTTCGTCGGGTCAAACCTAACCCATTGAATGCCCTATTTTTATGTAATATAAAATAACATATATATTATCTATAATATACATATAGTTAAATATATCTGCCCAACCCTAAAATTTGGGGCTCTAATGATGGCCCAAGCCTCGGCTAGGGCTTAAATACAAAATCTAGGTCTAGGTGCGAAATTTTCCAACTTGCTAAAATGATCGCCCTTGTTTTATGGCAAAAATAGCAGGGTAAGGTGCCTTCAGTACTTTAACACACATAGGTAACAAAAAAGTTATCGAAAACCAATTCATTAGTTTTTGGGTTAGACTAGTTTGGTGGATGGTTTTGGCTTTTTTTTTTTGGAGTAAATAGGGTTAGGTGTATGATGGAATTAGTTAAGGGTTGGGTGATGGTTTAACAATAATCTAACTAATGGTCCGGTTCAACTTTCTAAACATTGGTTAGTATTATATGTTTTATTATAT